TAATTATAATTAAGGTCAATCAGATGGACCAATATGGCAAGGCCATGATGATCCAATTGGTAAAGTAAATCCACTTGGCATCTTTCTTGCCCTTCAGACAACAATTCTGATGGCTAAAGATCCAAACGGGACAGGCAAAAAAAAAAAAAAAAAAAGCGTATATTTGAGAAATCCATAGTGGGGAGATGAACTGGAGTGCACACCGAGTGGGAAAGTGATTAAAGTTATTGTCTAAAAATGAGAAACAGAAGACAATTATGCAGCCCTATTTACCACTCTATTACCACTTTGTCCTCTTGCACTGGCCCAGCCTTTGTTTTCTGCATCTCCTCTGCAACTGCAGGAGTGTGTTCCTCGTGTTTCAGTGGGTGGGGGCAAACCCAGTGCATTCAGTCATCCATCCTTCCCTGGATCATGTGCTGCTCAGCTCTCTAGAAAAGTTACAAAATAATGGGTTGTAATCTGATTTTGATTGATGTTTGTAGATACCTGGCCTGTCTTCCCCCTTCAAAGAAAAGACGTTTGGGTGTGTGAACACCACCCGCTTTGTCGGTCCAGCTGATGGACAGATAACAATTCAGATGTGTCTGTTGCTCTTTGAACCAAGAAGGATGTGCTGGTTACAGGATGTTGCAGTGTGTGCTGGGATACTAGCAGACACTGCAACACTACTGGAACGACAGTGATGTTGATTATAATGGTTGCTTTGTACCTATAGTGCATCTGTGAAAATTTCACAGCATTTATATGTCTGAATTTAGTCACAAGTTCAGCGATTTTTACTCCACTCTTTTACTTGCACTTATTTGTAGGGATCCACCCATGTATATAACCATGAAGCGGCTGTTTTTTATACCCTAACAACAAAAACAAGTTCTGGCTTATATAAATTCAGGAAAACGCTGACTAAAGAAACTCAACCTTGTTATTTAAGTTAGGAAAAAAAGTGGCCTGAAAACATCAGGCCAGATCCAACTCGAGGAATCTGAATTTCTTTGCTTGACTTTGAAATTAAAAGAAAGAAACATGATTGCTACAACAATCCTAAGATGAGCTATTGGTGATATACTGTACCATAGATTTCTCTGTTAATTTTGTTGAGTATATTATCTTCTGTGATAGCTGTCGACTAAAGCAGGTGATCCAACATAACATTCAGAGGGTTCAGTTCCACCCCTGCAGACTTAGATAAATAAATTTCATTCCCCCATCAATCACGGTAATAGAGCGAAGGCCTCATTCCTGCATAAAAATTCAAAACCGATGTCTAGAAAACAGGATAATTCATTGCGGCGCAGTAAGAATGATACGCAGTCATTGTTGGTTTGAAGGCTTCATGTGTTTATCTCCTTTGAGACGCATCTAACATATCATATGAATTTAAAATATGTATACAAAAGATTTCTCACTTTCTCCGAGTGGGGTTGCAGCTGATTATTTTTGATTTTTATTATGCGGGACTGCTGACATCAGTAGATTTAGTAGAGTGCTTGCCTCCGGTGTTGACATGCTGTCACAATAGTTTATGATGTGAAATGAAAAATATTGCAGACTACAAAAAAATGCCCCTTGTCCTATTTGTAATTGCCATGTAAAGGTCGACGTGAACAGCTTTCCCCATGGGGTTAAAGGAAAATGAGTACAAAAAACCAAGTACAACTCTTCATTTCTAAAATAACTCTTAGGGAACTTTAAGATCTAATTGCATAGGAGTGTACAGAGGGGACTTTTTCTTTGAGTGAGCCTTAAAAGTGGGTTTATCCTCCAACGCTTCTCTACAAGTTAAACCAGCCTCACAACAAAGGATTACTTGTTCCTCCTCACCTAGAAAACCACAGCAGCACTGGGAAGCTGTTGTTTCTTTGATACATACATTATCTACTGCTTCTCAGGTTGAAAAAAATACAAATGCGACTGAAAAAGCTAAACGGCAACCTTCGCGCAGTGACGGAGTAAAGACTGTCAGTTGTCAAAACCGTTTCCACAAGAGAGTCTTAGTTCAATATTGAGATGCCGCGCATTTCATCTAAGATTTAATTTTCTGCTTGAATCTCGGAGAAAGAAAGTAATCATACGGACGTGTGTCATCATTTAGACAAGTTGTCATCCCAGCATTGGAATTTCAAAATGGCAGCAAACATCTGTCATCCCCAGATTAGACTCTCCATCTCTCCACAGGTGAAGTATGGTATATACTAACAAAGATTTCGATCCAGACAGTTTCCACTTCTCAAGCTCTGTGATTCCTATTGGCGTGACAGTAATTTGTCAGATATGTATAGAAATGTAAGCTTTTATCAGCCAGCAAGTAAGATGAACTTTTCAGTTTGAAATCAGGTGCACACACACACATCAGTAACAGAGAAGAAATCCAAAATAGATTATTTCAGTTCTCTCTTTCATAAAACATGCTCTTAGCTGTAGTTAATTCCAGTCCCATTTAAGGTTAAATTGCGTGTTTTATAACTGTCTGGTTCCTCAAGCCATTACGAGTATGCAGTGGAGACAATTGAAATGATTGCCATTTATCTCTCACATTCAAAAACGGACTAACAAAGATCATGGATCTTATCAGTAAAAATCTATGTGTGCAATCATGCATGTGTGCATGTTCTTGAGCATCGCGGGACTGAGGTTTTGTCCAATTTGTTAAGCCTATGAATAATAATCAGTACCCTGCACAAATGTATTATATGAGGTTTTCAATGGCTGTCAGCTGTGTATTATGAGGCGCGTCACTTGCCGCACTTCTGCATAAACAAGTCTGGCATTTTTCTCTCTATAGCTGCAACTCTCTAAAGATCAGACCACGTTTTATGAGTGATCAGTTCAGAAGACTTGGTAATTGCAAAAGGTTCACACAGGTCACGATAACAGACAAAACAATCTGACTGATTAACACGTAAAAGGTTGTACTTTTCATGTCTTTGTTACAACGCTGAATAATCTATCGCAGCATGTTGGAAAAAACAAGTCAGCTCAATAGACTGGATATGATAAAGATGGATGTAGTCACTGTGATATTTCCCACTTGTTAGTAAACTCTGTGTTCTGAAGCCTCCGTTTTAGCTTTTATAATGATAACCATCTTCATTTCCTGGAACGAAAAGTGGCCATGTCTTAACAAGCAGCTCATGGTTAGCCTTGACAATCTAAGAAAGTGATTTGTAAAATAAATAAATAAATCTATTAAAAAAAATTATTTCACCAGATTTTAAACATGTTGACATTATGGGAATAAAATCGGAATCTATGAGGACTGACCCTTTTGGAACAGCCTCAAATGGCCATAAAGAGCAGCTGGCGTTTATAGCACTTCTACAGTGGCTTCATTGTTCTTATATTGTGTTTCCTGTTAGCAGCCTTCTTTAATAGTGTCAGTCACCATCTGATGTTTCCTGTAGCTGCTTATAAGCCTTGCACAACAATCAAAAGGAAATGTAGACCACCACTTCCTCCAAAAGCCTTAGTGCATCAACATTGGAGGAAGGTCTTGGTTGAATAGCCCTATTCAGGTCATGGCAGAGCATCTCAAGGTCAGTGCTCTGACTTCATTTTCCACTACTTTCCACTGCTCTGATTTACCTCTGTGCTTTGAGTCTTTCCATTAAGTTTTAAGTCATGGACCGAAGCTATGCATCGTCCTGAAAGATTACTTGATGTATTCTTGAATTCATTGTTTCCTCAATAATACAAACTATCTCCAAACCATGATGCTCCCTCTGTGAAGCTTTGTGTTTGTGTGTAGTGCCTTTTCCCTGCAAGCACTGTGGATTTTTACTAAGAATTATGTTTTCTAGATGAGCATCAAGGCCATTTAAGACACGGGGGCATGTTTTATTTTTTTAGTGACCAGTTGTTTCCTTCGAGGTACCTTTCCATTAACACCCATGGTGTTCACGTGTCCTAAAGTTGACACATGAACAAAGATTTTAGCAGGTTGCAGACATATCTGCCTGTTTTTTGCTGTTTCTCCTGGCCTCCTTTTCAGCTCTTTCACCTTCGTCACATATTGTACCCCTGGTGTGATCTTTGCAGGACATTCACTCTTAGGCAGTTCCTTCATTTGTTGTCTTATCATACACCAGAAACACCAAGGCCCTGTGACGGTTGTTATCATGGTTCACACCAGACAGTCTTTCTTGAGAAGATGAATGTTTGTCTTTGATTATATATTCCTTTGGCATGCAGAACATGAGATTCTAAGATTTTCAACATAAAAGTCAATAAGGTTTTTCCACATCATCTGTCTTAATGGGCCTAAAGCCACTATTGTTCTGCCCACCCTCAATCCCCCCAAACCTGTGAAAATTAACAGATCACATGACTGAAGTTCAGACAGAAAGTCACATGATATGCTTTTCTCATTTGTTAGAGAGGACTAGACTTACAAATGAGCCAGCGAGGAATTTAGCTTGTGGCAAAAGTAGTATTTAACTTTACTTTGTAATGCAAAACTGTTAATACAACAATAATAAACTATTACTACAAGTAATGTGCTCCGTTAACATGTTTGAAGAAATAAAAGTACAAATGTATTGGTGTTTTATTGTCGTTGTTGTTTTGTATGTGATGTTATTAGCTAATCATTGTTGTGTTGCATTTATGCATTGCTGTTGGTAGTGAGGTGGGTGCAGAGAGGCGCTTAGGCATTTTATGATGCTTTCAGGTAATTCTTAAAATTCCTCATTCAATACCATACCTACTTGTCTGTATCTCGGAGAGATGGTGGAGAATTTCGTCTAATAAATCCTACTTTTGTGTATATTGCTTAGGAAAGTAACAAGCTCAAATTCCCGTGTGTAACATTCCACTCAAACAATCTCCCCGCTTAGTGAGAAATGACGGTTTCCGAGGCTGTCAGCGGCTTTATACCACGCAGTTATCGGGACACGCCCATATCCGAGCTCCCACCACTCACAGGGACGAACGTGATTAGGTCATCGCGCCTTTCAGTCACGCCCATCTACCGTGGCTTCCTGTGTGAGCCGTTGGACTCGCTCTATCTGCAGCGAGTCTCCGGTATGGACACAGGCTTCACGGCAGAACTTTTCACAGGAGATTTTATCGCTGTTGTTTTCCATCTGACACGGCTCGTATCACTCGGAGATGGATTTCTGAACGGAATAAGCCGAAGCTGAGCCCGACTCTAGTTAAATCTCCCATTTGAAATCGTTTTTTGTGTGTTGTTTGAGTTGTTAAAGGAAGAGGGGAAAATGCCAGTTGCAACTCTTCTGCCTTTTACCGCGACCCCGAATAGGAAGTCTGCCAGCCCGACTTCTTTCAGGTTGACAGAGAAATTTATTTTGTTATTAGTGTTCAGCGCTTTTATAACCCTGTGTTTCGGGGCAATTTTCTTCCTTCCGGACTCCTCCAAGCTGCTCAGCGGAGTTTTCTTTCATTCCTCCGCGGTCGAAACGAACACCCACACCGGTCCGGACAGCAGCGACGCGGGTTCGGCTGGAAACGACGACAGGCTCCTGGCAAAAATCAAGAAGGACCACGAAAAGGCTCTGTTAGAGGCTAAGGATACTCTACAAAAACTTCCCGACGTGATACAAAATGACATTCTAGCTGATAAAGCGAAAGTTACAAAGGAGAGCATGGGTAAAGGTGGGAAGGATGGCAATAATTTACCTTTCATAGAGTACCACCGCCCGCCAGGGGCGACGGGACTAGAACCCCAGGACCCAGAAACCAGGGAGAGACGGGCTAAAATCAAGGAGGTAAGGAACTGGAGAGGATTCTTGTCAAGCTGAGCTCCTTCTAAAATCCGATATTTTAAATGTGCCTTGGCGTGGGGCTGTTTGGAGTCATGGGAGAACGTGACTCAACATGTTATAGTGATTGTTCACAACCTGTCTGCAATTCGGCACACACATAAAATGCAAAAAAGAACGAATGTAAATGTAAATTTAACTTTAGCCACGACAGTCTTGTTATCCCGAACCGCTGATTTACTTCTCGCAGAGCGGTGGGAGTTGGCGAACACCAGGTACACAATTAATCGTTTTAGTTAGTCGAAACAAACTGTGAGGTGGTTCTTATATCCGAAATTCACAGGATATATGTTAATGTTTATCTAATCATATTTACACGTGAAGAGATCTCTGTATGCTCTTCGGTGTACTTGGCAGTTTAATTAGGGCGCTTTTTGAACGCAGTTAGTAATACCGTTTTGCCTTTCCACTACACCGGGGGAAAATCAGGAATGCTTGCGAGATCCACTGCCCCCCTCCGGGCTGACCTACCTGTCTTTCAAGTTTCCCAGTCTCAGGGGCTGGTGCAGAATCAACTGGTATTAGTTGGTATATTCTCGGATGGTGGCTGGGAGAGGGGGGTAAAACACACCTTTTGCATCCTTTCATAGATCTTTATGTGACCTAGATTTTCAGTGAGCTCCATCATTCCTAACCTAAAATAATTTGTTTTAAATAAAAAACGAACGTTTGCGTCTCTCTAATTAATAGTATTAATTATTGCAACAGAAGCTTAATTGTGTTTATTTACAGTGGTAGTCTCACAGCATCTGTGTTTTTCGTTATTGAATGTTTTTTGTCACAGCAGATGGAAACAACGTTAGCCTTGTTGCCTGCAGCAGGGTGAAAATACCAACAGGTAGCATGTCTGCTATTATTGTGTTATGCCAGTGCACAGTGTGTGTGTGTGTGTGTCGAAATAAGGGGAAATCCCAGCCTTGAAGTCACAGAGGTGGTTTCAGGCAGCATCTTATGAAAGCAGCCAACCTGCTGTTTCATCTGTGATATTATGATTCTCGCAGCCCCCGACCGATACTAAAACATCCTCACTAAAACGTTAAATCAGATCTAAACCACTGTGATAGTGGTATGTGTTTGTATCATTTTGAAAATGTGCATTGCAGGTGATGATCTCAACACTAAGCGCATGTTTTGAAAAGTCCAAAGAGGGACTTTTTCTTGATAAAATGCAAATGGATTTTGGTGCCAAGACTTGGGAGAATCTATAAAAACAAAAGCATTGGAGAGCAAAGAGGTAGGAAGAGGGTTACCACAGCCCTTAGGGGGTTAAAGGTACCAAACTAATATAGTGCCTGTCCCCTTGTGCTTCCAAAATTCCTTTGACACATTGGGGCATGGACAAAGGGGGCCTTTAGGGTTGTTATGTGGTGTCTGGGGACTCCAGCTTATTAAGCCAATCCTAAATTGTGCTAAATTATATCTGCGCATTCTTTGTTTTATTCCTCGAGGTGGTCGTTGAGGAGGCTGCTGCAGTCTGCAGGCAGCACTGCAGTTAGTGTCTGCATGTTCTTTGGGTGACTGTTATATGCCAAATTAACATCTGCACGAAAGCCAGGAGAAGATTTCCTTGCAGAGCATTGCCTTGTAACCAAATAACTGTTATTCACTCCTCCTGCCGGTTTAAATCTTGCAGCTGACTGGTGATGTTCAACTCTGTGAGGAAGCTTGATTTCCATTTACTTTTTCACGGGGGTGCACTGATAGACAGACAGAGTGAGTGAGCACAGAAGGGTCCTGATTAAGAACATGTGGCTGATAGACACAGAATCATGTGGGCTGATTTGAAAATCACTTGTAAATCAGATATCGGTGAGTCATTGTGAAGAAGGTCAGGATATGACCTCCCTGCATGGCCTCCAGGATGTCTGTAGACCCGTGGTCAATATTAGCAGATACAAATATCACAGCAGTGGATTCGTCTGACTCCTTAAATGATCCCTGACATTCATGATATTTTTACTCTCAGGAGAGAATTATAATAGGGTTTTTACCTCGATACCAAAAACACCAACCAAAGGATCAGGGTTGTTGTGTGAGAATATATTTTAGGGATTTACTTTACTCAAGAGTGAAATGCATTTTTGGCAGTGGCCAAAAAAAAATGAACAAACAGACTCACTAAAGTAACTGTATGGAGACCAGTTGTTTATGAAATCTTGTCATTTAACATTGATGTAGCTTACGGAAGCTTCATAACAATTTAACATGGCATAGTTTCATATTAAAACAGGAGATTTTATTGATACATCACTCTGTATCTGTACTAAAGCCTTTTGCCTTTTTTCTATTGTCTGTTATTAAAGACACGATGTACTGCAGATGGTTGACAAGCCAAGCTTAAGATGTGTCAAGTGCCATTGAATAAGTCAGAAACCCTGCGGTCGTGCCATCAGCCACATGAATGTGGCATTAAATAAACCATGTCAACAAGAAGCCAATCTCTTTACAAACTAAGCCATGCCAATTGTGCATTTACACGTACTCACGGTCTTCCTGCACTTACTATCATGATGTTAGGCAAAATAACACCGTGTTAATGTTTGTGTTTTGTTAGTGAGGTCCTAAATCCCATTTCCAACATCCCAGCTGGATGTTTATGCTTTAGAGTTCAGCTGTGATTTTCAAAGCGACTTTAATAACCTGGGGGGAAGTCAGCACACGACTGTCCCATTGAAAACACAATGGTTCTGAACCCTGTGGGGTTTTGAGGTCAGATCTTCATGTTTCTAAAGTACAGTTGTAACACATTGTATTACTGTTTTGTTTTCAATAACAAAAAAATAATAAGTCCTGTACACAATACTTTGTGTTTTTCTTCCATTTTTGAAAATGTCAGATGCTGTGTCGACTTGCATGCATGGTTATAAGTTTGATTCAGGTCAGGTGCTCTATTCAGGGCATATTTTTCCTTCATCAGGAGATGAACTGTAACAACCTGCAGTAGTAAATTATAAAAAGATCCAGTAGTGCTTCAAGCAGTAAAATGCAACTTTTTCTTCATGAGATCAGCTCCTGTTTGCTTGGCAGTAAGAGACTTTGAGCTGTGATCTTCTTTCAAAACAAAATCATCTGTGTGTTTTATTGTTAAATGAGTAAACTGAGGCTAAGGGGAGGTCACTTTAGATCTCACCCAGATATGCATGTTAATCTCAGTTTCTGTAACTCATAGTGTTGCAAAAATTAAAAAAGGCAGAAAAGCAAATGTGTGAGGCTTCACCAACCCCAACTTTAATGAAGCGGCTAATAAACATATTGGAATCTTCTGGGAGAAGCTTTCCTTTGAACTAGAAAACAACACTACATAATAGTTGCTTTATGGCTTCTCATCATGGAAAAAAGCATGGGGCATATATAATAAAGGCTCATAAGAACTCAAAAGAAGTGTAGTGACTATATGTGTACTTGTACCGATGAGATGGTTTGAGCATGTGAAATTGGGAATATATTGGAGAAAAAATGTTGAACATGGAAGAAGACAACAGAGGAGGTTTGTGGATGTAGTGAATGACGACATGCAGAACTGGCTGTTGGTGTAGAAGATTGCAAGGGATGGGAGATGGAAGAGATGGTCGTTGTGGCGACCCCTAAAGGGAGCAGCTGAAAGAAGCCGCTTTGATCACCACTGTTGATTTGAAACCTCCAGTAGTAGCTGACAGTTAACAAGTCCAGTAAAAGAAAAAAAAAAAAGAAGCTTTTTTTTTCTCCTATCACACCTTTATTACACTGTAGTAGTGGCTTCAGAGATATTAATATCCTTAAAGCTTACATAACAAATATGAAGCTGATTTGTATGAAATTTAAGCACAGATGAAGGAAGCAGTCATCAGTTTGGTTTTGAGAATCACCGACTTGATAAGGATAAACCCAAGATGATGGATGGTTGTGTGGTTCCCGGTGGGGCATGTGCTGTATCAGCGCCCTTCTAGATATTTCTGAGTTGATATTAGCCATTCACGTAGTACAGTTGGACCATACAGGTCTCCAGGTTTGTGCTGAACTCCTCTACAGATCACACTTTTATCTTTCTGCCCTTTCTGTAAAGCCAGTAAATTTGCTGACGAAACACACTCTTACATGCACCCCATGATCTTTTGTGACCTCCTGTGCTTTTTTTTTTTATGTGGATTTTTAAATTATCTGAGATCTGCCATCTCCCAGCTAAACTTCACCATCTGATTGAGTTATCAAGGGATCAGCCCTGCACTGAGCTGTCGTGTCAGCGGACGCATGTTGAGTTTGAGATGGGCAGAGCGCATACAGCATGGGTCGCTCTGGAAAGGATAAATAGTTTGTTGGGAGTGACCGCCACAATCCTACAATCAGCTCAATCTGTTTGTCTGACTCAAATCAGGCTCTCTGGAGAACCCCGCCTCCCCACTGTCAGGACCCCGGGCTTTCACTCGCTCTAACCGGGGCTTTGGTGAGAGAGCAGCGGGTGTGTGTGTGTGTGTGTGTGTGTGTGTGTGTGTGTGCGTGATAATGATGAAAACCTTTACTGATAAATGGATGGGAAAATCAAAGCTTATGAGGTTGACATAGCAAGCTACTTTTCTGTTAGTAACAATTTCTTCTCCAAGATTAATTGGATAACATTTCAGTAACATTTGCAGGACAGTCCCCTCCTGGAACGCCTTGCGATTTTATGAAGAATGAGAAATGTATTTTCTACATTTGTATTTTAACACAACCTTGCAATGCATTGAATAAACTCTTGTTAGCGGTTGAGTTAATGGGCTTATTGCTGACCCGTGTGCTCTGCACTTCCTTTGACGTAGGCTAACCACAGGTAAGATGCAGCTTGAAGCCTTCATTATGCGTTGCTGTGGACATGGACAGCTGGAGACCTGATGGCCAAGTAGCTATTCCCGTTATACTTCTTTGAAGTCCACCACCTGGGGTGCATGCGCAGTTTGTGGATTGCAATGCAAATTCTCCACACGTAACTC